GGAAACACACGTAGAAGGATGACAGAGGGGAGGATGAATCACCTTTTCAGATACAGATGACAGCAAATAGTGGCCAGTGCTGAGAGTCCCTGGATGGTGACGAAAGGGAAGGAGGATCCTGGTGGGTGACCTGCAAGCACTAGAAAGCACAAGGGGTCAGACTGAGAATTACCAGAATCGCAGAGCAGAGCTGATGGTGACATGAGGGTTCATCCTGCCTGTTTTACCTTGGGATGATGGGATTAGCTAGAGCTATCCAGACACTAAACTGGGTATCTAAACTCCCTCTGGTTAAAAGACAGGTGGGCACCGGGAATTCAAATTACAGGCCTGCTTTATACAAAAAGATGTGGATGGGCTGGAGAGAGTCCAGAGAAGGGCCATAAGGATGATCCAAGCACAGTGCAGTCATGTGAGGAAAGGCTGAGAGAGCTGAGCTTGTTCAGCCTTGAGAAAAGAAGGCTCAGGGGAGACCTTATCCCCCTCTTACAGTACTTAGAGAGTGGCTACAAAGAAAATGGAGAGTCCCTTTTTACAAGAAGTCACATTGAAAAGACAAGGGGTGATGGCACAAGTTACTAATAGGGAGATTCTGACTGGATACAAGAGGAACATTTCTCACCCTGAGAACAACCAGCCACTGGAATAATCTCCCCAGGGAAGTGGTGGACTCCTCAGCACTGGACACATTTACAATTCAGCTGGACAGGCTGCTGGGACATATGGTCTAGGTCATGCTTTGCCAAGGCAGGTTGGAGCAGATGATCCTTGAGGTCCCTTCCAACCTGGGATTCTATGGTTCTATCTGCAGGTAAGGAAGGTGAGATGGATCCTGTGCTAGGCTGTCCAAGCAGGTCTCTGATGTATAGGAATTTTGTTAGGACAGGAAAAAAAAAAAAAACTGGAAGAAGGCTGTTCTAGGGTTGATTCTGTTCTTCAGGGATTTCCTCCTGGAGGAAAACACTAAGCTAAAGCTTGAAAGCTGCCACATCCTGGTTATTTCCAGATGCAACTTACAGTTCCTCTTCCTAAGGCAGAAAAGTAGAGGAACAAAAAAGACAGAATTTCAGGTAGACCTCAGTAAGCTCACAGAATACCAGGCGGTCTCTTAAAAGCCTGGTTTATGAATTAAAGAATCATTCCTTAACATTAATAAGTGCAGCACCCAGCTGCAAGCCAAAAGGACACAAGAACGAGGTGTAAGGCCATCTCACGCAGAACACAGACATCTAGTATGAGCATAAAAGACAGAACGAACAAAGTCAAGGCACTGAACGAGGCAAAAACTGCAGCTGCAACGCTTTATATGCATCACAGTATAATAGAAAGATCAACGGCAAGGCTGATACACTACACAGTGGAGAAAGCAGGGCATGATTCGTCCATTCAGTCTTCACTAAAAGGACTAGTGCAACCAAGCGGCTAACACAATTAACAAGAGAGGGAAAGGGAACAGAACTCCCAGGTAGGAAAGGATTGGGAAGTATTTATTTGTTTTCCCATCAATCAAGCCTGATGAATGTGACCCAAAAGCATGTAGAAAACGGGCAAAAAATCATCTGGTGAGAACACACACCAAGAATTTCTGATGCCTAGAGGTGGGTTTAGAAGACAAGAGGACCAGCCTGAAAGCCTTCTTTAAAGGAAGAAGTGGGGCAGTCAGAGCAGCCAGTTTAATAGGAACTGACTATAAACTATTAAACAAAAATCAAGCTATTTATAAGCTTATAGATTTGCGAAGAACAAGCTCCATTGTATCAGTCTAACTTTGCTGACTGACAGGTCTTACAGAGTAAAAGAGATGGTTATCACTTCTTTGTCTATACTCTTTAGAAACTGTCTTTCACAGTGTTCTCATAAGCAAATAGGGAAACATAATCTAAATCAAAAAGCACAGAAGCAAAGCAGTTTGAAAAGGTGAACTGGGGGAGCTGTAATCCAGCTGTCATCCATATGGAAGGACGGATGAAGAAAGAGTGATGGGAAATACGTTCTGTTCCTGGCAGCATTCAATACTCCCATCAATACCTGACTTAAGAACACTTATACTTGCAGGTGACTCCCAATGGGGAAAGAGGCAGCAGAGACCCCAGAGGTCTGCAGTTAAGAACACAATTAAGTGGAAAGACAGAAGCAAGTATTGATAAAGTAATGAGCAAAAGACAGGATTAACACACTTCACATATACAATCCCCCCTACATAGTGCTTCTCTGAAAGGGATATGGAGGTTAGTGAACAAAATATTACACTCAGACGCAAAACACAGCCAGAGAGAGAGAGGAAGCAGCCTATGGCTCCAGCTGTGGGCTCTGAAGAACTCAGCAGCATCATACACGTCATATTGTTAATAGTTCATATCCAGTTCCTATGAAACTGGCTGCTCTGACAAATACAACTTTAAAAGTGGTTAACAAAAACCCAAATCAAAACAAGAGAAAACACAAATGACCAAGGGCTTAGAAACATGATCTGTAAGAAAAGACTAAATAGTGATGGTTTGATTCAGCAAGAAAACCTTGAGGGATTGTGTTCAGTTTTAAAATGCACTAAGTTTGAAGCAGAGAGAGTATTTTTTTCCTTTATTCCACATAGAAGGTGGGTTAGACATGAAACATGAGCTAACATTATAGAAGATTTGGGTGCACCACAGAATCTTCAAAAACCTTGAAAAGGAGAACAATTTGCTTGAGGGGGGCTTCACGTTGCTGCTGCCAAACCCTTGACTCATTATATGCCAAAAGCTGTCCTGGGACACGATCACAAGTTCCGCTGTATCACAAGCCGACAGGCAAAGGGTGCTGTACAAGGCATCCAAGGTCCCCCCACCACAGGGGGGGATTTGGGAAGACTCAACGACATCCGTCGAGCATTCGTACTGCCCAACCACACACCCCATGCCCATAGCGAGCACTGCTCAACCCCTTTCCCCAACTCAAGAGCCCCCAACAACGAGCTCCACCTACAGAGACCATGAAACTCACTACAGGAACGGCTAAAAACGGTCAGAGGTCCCACTACCAGCTTGCATTGGTTTTACCGCCGGCTTTAGCGGCCCTAACAGTGGCGTGATAGCCCCAGCCCACCCGGGAGAAGCCGCCACGCTGTCCCGAGAGCAGCCCGCCTCCTCTGATACTGCGCTCCTCGGCTGCCCGCAAAACTGCCTGTCCAATATCCGCCGTGAAATGCGCGACACTAGCCTATATACAACCCAACTTGTCTTTCGATACTTTTAGTAGAAGTTTAGTAGATTTACACCCTCTGTTTCCGCTAGGATAGCCGCTGAGTTGTCTTGGTCCAAGACGTTTTTAGTCAGGCATTTTTTTTGCCTGACTTTTCTGAGCCCGAGGTTACAAAAGCCCCCTCTTCAGGGTGGGTGAGCGGTGGTGTTTCCTCTCTACGCGCCGCTCAGGAGGGAGGCCCTCAAGATGGCGATGCTGGCGGAGCGTGAGTGGTGCTCCCGCGGGGAAGAGCCGCGGCGGCGGGGCAAGGGCCGTTGTGCAGGGAGCGGGTCGGGCCTGCCCTGGACCCTTTGCGGGTGGGGCCTGGGCCGCGCAGTCCCTGCCGAGGGGGCGGGCGAGTCCCCGGAGCGCCCGCGGTGGCTCGGTGCGGCTTTGCGGGGCTCGATCGCTTCCTGGCCCGCCGGTGGGGATGTCTATCGGATGCCCTTGGGACTGGCATTTGCCCCATATTCGGAAGTGTTCAAGGACAGATTGGACCGGGCTTTGAGCAGAGCTCTAGTGGGAGGTGTCCCTGTCCGTGACAGGGGGTTGGAACTGAATGAGTTTTAAGGTCCGTTCCCACCTAAACCACTCCGTGATTCTATGATATTTTTTCAGAGTCTCGGTACTGTTTGTACAGCGGTGTGTTAAGAGTGCAGGTATGCCGAAGCTTCTGGGCTGGGATTGTGTGGCAGCAGGAGAGCTGAGCTGAACTCTGTATGTGTATGTAGGCACGGGTCTTTTGATCTCACCCAGGGTTAGAATTTGCGCTGTGTGTACAGGGAACTTCAGGGGCCAGTTAAGTACTGACTTGGGAAGAGTGAGTATGGGATGTAAGGGATTTGAGGCAGGTGCTTAAAAATAGGCAAGTAAATGCATGGAAGTCATTAGGGAGATATCACGATAAGGTCATGTGGTTGTCATGCTTTTTCAGTAAGGGTGTTGGTGAGTGAATCATTTTTGAAGGCATTGTTACGTGAAGCCTGGTCGTTTTGCTTAACTTTTTCCCAATATTGGAATCAGAGCTTCACTCTTACCTCTGAAGTTATTGAGGGCTTGGGCTCCCCATATCTGAAAGGACTGATTAAAACACTGGATAAATATCCTGTACAATAACTGTTTCTTGGGTAAAGTTTTTCATTCAGGCAACATAACTGTCTCAGGGCTGGACCAGGTGTGAGCTAAAAACGTTCGTTGCCTTCTCTTCTGAGTTAATGATGCATTCCTGTTAAACAGCCTTTTCTAATAAATATAAAGCTATATATGAGTAGAAAGAGTAAACTTCTTAACTGTAAATTTTTGTGTGACAGTATTAATACACTTCTGTCTGAGTATTGTTAATGTCCTTAGGTGTTTTGGTAAGCTTACTGATATCAGGACACTCTTAATGGGAAAGCACAGGAGCTAATGAATTTGATTCTGTAGGACTAATTTGGACTGTATGATAGATCGTCTTAAGTGTAATAACTAATTAGAAAATAAGGTTTCCATTGGAAAATACAGGTATGAATTGAGGAAAGCAAAGCTGCATTTACATGTGTAATTTGCTGATTATTTTTTTAGATGTAAACTTTGTTGGTGACATTTTGGGATTTTTTTTTTTTTTTGAATTTGGTAATTATTTTAATTGGGAACTGCATATATCAGTAATTGTAGAATAGTTTGGGTTGGAAGGGACCTTAATACGCATCCAGTTCCAACCACTTGCCAGAGGCAGGGACACCTTCCACTAGACCAGGTTGCTCTAAGCCTGTCCAAGCAGGCCTTGAGCACTGCAGGGATGGGGCAGCCACAGCTTCTCTGGGCAGCCTGTGCCAGTGCGTTAATGCAGCTTCTGTATATAGTGAATTCTAAAATCAGTTGCCGTAAGAAACAAGTTTAGTTGCTGAGAGCCATCTTTGCAGAGTTGTCTGCTTTTGTTCATCACCTTCAGCTGCACTTACAATTGTGAAGGCATGTTGCAGGTCTGCAGTTTTATTTGCAGTTCTGGATTAAGTTCTGATGATCTCATTATCCTAAAAGAATTTGGGGGTGAGGTATGTGGTTAATCGGTTTTACCACAGCTGTGAAAGCACATTCATTCCAGGGACTTAAGGACACTTTTCAGCAGTACCTAGGGACAGGACAAAAAAAGCAGTAAATGCAAATTGAAAATGCAAGAAATTCCTGGACAACCTGCTGAAGCAGGGGGTTGAAGTAGATGATCCTGAGAGCTCCTTCCAACTTTTGTGATTGTGTGTGCTAAAGTGAGAAAGGACAAACTCAGTCATTTTATGCTCATGTAGTCTGAATTTAAAAGACATATCAATTGCAGAAATGGCCAAAGAGGTAGCTTTTAATTTTCACTTTTAATTTGTTTTTAAATTTTAATAATTTTTAATTAACTCTGTATGTTATTGGTGCTTCTCAGGAAAAAAAAAAAAAAGAGCTTGCATTAATGATGGCCTTAATATCTTTGATTAAAAATTAAATCCCTTCTGTGGGCAGGGTGGGTTTTTCCTGTTCATTAGAGAAATTTAACTTGCTTACTATCACCATGTGTGAGTACACAGCAGGGGTTCGGATGGGAACTGTCAGAAGTGATAAACGTATGCCCCAGGCACAGAATTAGCCTTGGTAAAAGGGTTTAGTAATTGATCTTTTTCAAATGTTAGGGTGAAGTATCTAAAGAAATTATACTTTTCTCCACTGGATGGTGCTGCTTGCTCGGAGTTGCATTACTGTATCTAGAATCGTTCTATGAGCAGCCCTGATGATTGGTGTTAACTTCTGAGATGAGTGTTTTAGCTGGAACACAGTGTGTTTCCTTTCTGACTCTTATCAGTGGACAAACGTTTCTGATAAATTGTAGTCTTTTTCTGTTGTTTGTTTGGAGAGGGGGGATGATTTTATCGTTGCTGTGTGTTGCATAAAGTCATTCCCAGCTTTCTTAAATACTTTAAAGATATCAGCAGCTTTATTTTCCTGCCTCTAGATTGCCATATTTGAAAATAAGAGTGTGTTAACCCGAGAGAAATGTGAGGATTAATCCCATAGAGGTAGTGAAGAGGTTTGAAATACTTGGATTGCAAGTTCTGGGAGAGGGAAGGTCTCTTAAAATTCAAAGCTTGGGACACCTCTATTAGGTGTCCTTGTGTTTTGTTACCATTGCCCTCCTGGAAGTAAAATATCTTCGTCAGAGAGGGACTCAGAACAAAAGAATAGAAATTAACTTTTAAAGTGGATTAGTTGAACTACATCAAACAATTCAGTTTGGAAGTTAATTTAAATTCACACTCAGGTGACATGGATTACCTCTGCTGCATAGACAAAGCCTGAGATACATGCAGTGGCTTTACAGCTGCAAGAACTGTGTTGAACTGAATTTCTTGGTATTTGCAAAGTCAGCACCTGGGGAGCTAGCTGCACAGAGCACAGCAGAATATGGGAGTACTTGAAATGTTGTTCTAGTTAGGTTTAAAAAGAGGCATTGAACAGGTTTTGGTGACTGAGGGAAAGTTGATGTTAATTGAGAGATTTTAAATAAAGGGATCAGTTAAGACATTTCATTGAAAAGGAGGGGCTGCTGCTCAGCTGGGCAGCATCATCTCTATTAAATTGCTTGTTTTTGTTGTCTGTCTTTTTATGCTGTTTGTCTCACTGTCAGCTACAGACAAAAGCAACAGCCAAGAAGTTCCCTGCCTTTTTAGGATTTAGCTTTTGCTTCCAGCTTGATAACATTTTAATTCCCAATAACCCCCCCCAAATAAAGAACTGGAAATCTGGGTCCTTAGAGGTTGTTTGCATCTTGTGTGAGGGAAGATGACAAAGCTTGTTCATTGTCCCACATTCCTAGCTTGGTGAGTTTCACTGTTTTTCTTCTCAGTGGGGCAGCAGGGAACCCTAATTTGCTTGGGTGTTGAAAATCACAGTCCACAGTGGCATTTTACCAGCTGTTGTTAGCAGCACAGGTAGGGCTTGGCTGCCTGTTGGAAGCAAATTGTTGTTTTCCTGCAGAGAAGTGAACCAAGTGAAGGCTATGTCAATTCCTCTCACAGCACTGAGTCATTTAACCTACTGTAAAATCTTTTTTTATGGACTGTTGGGGTTTTATGAAAACCTTATCAGACTATTACTTTTTATGGGGCTGTCATGCAGCACCTATTTTGAGATTCAAAGCTTCAGCAGTATGTTAAAAAAAGCCACAGTCTTGTATTCTAACTCTGTTAGTTCTTTAAGAACGAAACAAAACTGGGCAAAAAAAATGAATCAGCCATCCCTGTAATAGTCTGTTCCCCTGGCCCAAATCCTAACTGTTACATTTTAGGGAAAGATGACTTCCTGATTATGTTGCAAGCACCTCGGCAGACTTGGCTTCTCACTGACTTTGTATGGCCTTGGGTTAATCGGTCATTTTTGATCTGCCGTTTCCCATCATGTTTAATGAAGTTTGTAATCTTCCTGTCTCCCATTCTTTGTTTGTCCTGTTTATTTAGGTTATCTTCCTGCTTGTGTTTAGGTGCACAGTTGAAGTGGTTGGTTAACTGGGCTGGCTTTTCTTCCTTGATTTCATTGAAGCTATTCCTGATGATAGAGGCAAGCGCACGCATGTGGGCCTCGGGGACGGTAGTTTCTTTAGAAGTCTGCAAAGGAGCTGTAATTCTTATTTGGAATTTTTAACACCTGCAGTGATTTCCGGTGACTTTTCAGTTTCTGAATAAACCATTTTGTGGCAAATTCAGAATCTGAAATCTCACTTGTTTCTGGCCTGTAATTTAATTTCTCTAGTCACTTACTTTTTTATTTTTGATTTGGCTTTTGTTATGAAGGCAAATACTAAAACTTCTGTGTTCTGGTTGAAAAGAAGACTGGCTAGTGGGTGTTGTCCAGAACTGGGAAAGCCAGCACCATAGTCTCATCCCCTGTAGATCTCATGTTAAAGCCAGATGTAGAACAAAGTTGGAATAAATACCGAGTTTAGGCCTGTACACCTAAGTAGTAATCCTTAAAGCCTTCCCTGAGTTGCAGCTCATCCTTAGGGGTGACAATTTCTGTAATAAACTTACTCTGGCATTTTTCACATTAATAGTTAACATTTTTGTTGGGTTTTTTTCTTTGTTTTTGTTTTGTTGTTTTTTTTCAATATGAGGTTTAGTAAAATTAACCCCCAAAATGTGTTTAGTCTGGCATAAGTTCTGGCTTAGCTTTTTGCAATAAAGAGCTTTTCTGGGATCGATTGAATACTAAGAACGCCGTGGGAATGTCAGTAGAGCCTGTTTGAATTTTTCCTTCCTGCTCTAGCCAGTAGAAGGCAGAAGTGGTCTGTGGATCCACGAAATAGCGCTTGGAGTAAAGATGAATCTAAATTTGGCCAGAAGATGCTGGAAAAGATGGGCTGGTCCAAAGGAAAGGTATGATCTAAAGGAGAATTGTCTAGCTGAAGGGTGGAAGACTGCCAGGGGATTCTCGATCTCGATGTTTAAAACAACCATGTTCTGTTTGATTTATTCTCTGCAGGGCACAAAGAATTTGAGCAATGTTAGATATCTGCAGTTTGTTACAAAGATGCTTTCTTGCTTGGGCCTGTCCTGTTTTTCTCCCCTCCCTTTGACTTTGCACCTAAGTAAGAGCAGGCCATTAAATTAGGTGATGGCTAAAGGCTTTTAAGTTGCCTTCACACCCCTCGGTCCCCTCGCTGCCTTTTGGTACTGTTCAGAGCAACACCAGGACCTGCTCTAATCCTTCACTTATTTTTAAAGATTACATATGGTCTGTTCCTTGAATGACCAAAATGCAGCGTTATGTGAGGTGTATTCCTTCCCACCTCCAGCCTGTACCTGTGGGGTGAGGTGACTGGTTTCTGGGGCTAAGAATAATCTCTAGGTCAGTGCAGACGGCTGCGGACTTCTCAGCTGCCTCTTAAAAGCAGTTTAACTTCCACAAAGGTGCCTCAGCAAAGCTGAGATTTTGGCCTGCACATCAGTATGTTTAATGCACGCAAAACCCCCATGATACTAATTCTCCTAGATTTGCTCTCCCAGCCTTTTTAAAAAGGAATAAAATTAGGCTCATTCTTAATTCTGTGAATGCATTAAAACTTAGCAAAAAAATAAGCATGCTCATGGGTTTCTCAGTATAACCTGCTGTTGCCTCAGTTGTCTTACATTTAGCACATGTAAATTTGGCTTCTAACTACCTCTCATTTGAGCAAGCAGCGGTACCTGATTCAAAGGCTGCTGAAGTCAAGGAACTGGCATCAGTTTCACTGAGCTTTAGACCAGCCTCTCAATAGTATGGACCTAGAGTGCTGTCTTTTAATGTAAATTGCATGCATAGGTGTTTCATGTGTGTAAGGTTAAAATAGATATGTAAACCAGAGTAGAAAAAGATGCTGTTAAATGTCCTGAATGTATTTTAGGCCATAAGCTTCTCTGACCACAGATAACACCTTTGCTGTTATGAACACTGTATCAGGGTGTTAAGAGGAAGACCTCATGTTTTCTTTTCTGTCTGTCCCCTCCCAGTGTTTTTCACAACAGTAAGTTTCCTACTTGAGCTGCCAGATCTTCCTTTACAAGTTACAGCTGCACAAGAAAGATTCATGCCTCCATTCCACTACAAACTTAGACAAATGGAACTTAAGCTTGATCATATTGATGGGCAAAAGCCTATCTGTGCAGTGAAATTAAGCTGCTTACACTAGTCCTGTTATTAGTTGTGTTGGAATTGGGTCACAGCAGGATGTGCAGCCAAGCACCCTGCTTGCTTCCATATTTTTTCGTTAGCAGAAGTTTCAAGGTAAATTATCCTCCCTGCTGACCAAATAAGCCCTACTAGTTTTGTAACAGCAACACCCTTCTTCAACTATGCCTCATTCCTCCAGATACTAGATATGCCTGGGATCGATCCACAGGGCTTCTCTCCACTGCTCTACCACATACATGTTTATTACAGCCAGACACATAGCTGATGATTTGTTGCTAGTGACACATTAGGGAAAAAGTGGGTAGTAGGTACCAGGAATAAAGTTTTAAACCAAATGCTTTGTCTTTTTATCTTTTTGGGGTTCTTCTTCCTCCCCCTCTGCTCCCCTCCCCCCATTGTATAGTTAAGAACGATAATACTGAGCCTGAAGGTTGCTTCCCAGATTTGAGTGATGGTGGTTTTTAGGATAGACAAACCCAACATTTGTTTGCTCCAGTATCTTCATCAATTTATGAGTGTGAATGAGATGGAAGAAGTTTTTAATGTTCTGCTAGCTCCAGTCTGATCCTGTCCCCCACTTTCCTGCTGTATAACTTCGCTCTGTATTGCATGTTGTATGTGGCATCTGTCTTACAGCCCATTACACAGCTGCTTTCCCAATGACGGAGGCATTTTTCGTGAGAGGCAAGTTCTTTTTATGTAGTATCTTGTTTTAAAATTGTAAACACTTTGGACTTGCCTAGGAATGTCAGGTGGCTTCCTGATTAATCACCCAGCTACTTAATGTTGTTGCTATTTTAGTGTTTGTAATACTTTGCTGGAGGCTTAAGTAGTAAATTAAAAAAAACCCCATAATATCTCATGTGTGCTAATGCCTGTGAATGAATTCAGTTACAGGCAAGCAGATAAATAACAAGTTGAGATTTCTTGCTGTATTTTATTGCAAACTACCTTACAGATCAAAAGCTTCAATTGCTGCTATGAAATCCTTACATTTTTACCCTTAAATCCTCATTAGGGTCTTGGGGCTCAAGAACAAGGAAATACAGAACATATCAAGGTTCAAGTGAAAAACAACACACTGGGCTTAGGAGCAACCATCAATTACGAGGTGAGCACTGGAGCCAGGTAAGGAAATGGCTCCCATTTCAGCTAAAGCACAATCTTTGTAACAGGATATTTGTGAAATCGGTTGTCACATCTGATGGCATCCTGTACCTATGCCAGTGTCTCTGCAGAAACTGTTGACCTGGAGTTTCTGCTTTGTTGGGTGTTCTAGGAGCAAGTATCTGCTTGGAAAGTTTGCAGTGAATTCTGCAGGCCAGCTGTTCCGAGATTTCTTTTTTGCTGCCTAGCAAATTACTGAAATACTTGCCTTTTCTTTGTATCTTCTGCCCTGCTTCGTGCCTTCTCTTCCTGATACAGTCACCTTTCTGACTGGAGTTCAGGTACATAGGTAGAGCAGAACATGGTCCTAAAAGTGCCAGTCTCACAATCAACATCTCAAGTAACTTTGCTGGAAAAAGATCACAGTGCTATTTCCTGCCTACTTTTGAAAACATCTTGCACCAAGGGGGGACACACAGAGCCAAAAGTAGCTCAGTATTAAGAACTTACAAACACAACCCTTACAATTGCTACTCTTTAGAGTGACTGTAGCAAGCACCTGTGTTGCTTTTGAGGGTCCCTTCCACTGACCAGCATTGAGTATCTACAATTAAATTACTTCTTTGTAGTCTTAATACTTGGTTCAGCAAAATTTTTGTTAGTTCTGAAGACTTTTGCCTTGTATTCATGTGGGTGATATTTACAGGACAACTGGATTGCTCATCAGGATGACTTCAACCAGCTTCTGGCTGAACTGAATGATTGCCATGGACAGGGTGAAACAGGTAGGTTCGTGCTTTGCTCAATCAGATGCTGGAAGCTTAGCACAGTTTCCATTCTCTGTCTTAAAGGCTAGCTGAGGCCCAGTACTTTAGGGTGGTGATAATCTTTCTGAGGCTGGCAACCCCCTTCTCTGCTGAAGTCAGTGAGAGCTGAAGGACCTGTCATCCATTACCATGCTGAAGTTTATCTGTATATGTTGATCTCAATGGATCAGTTTTGCTCTCAGTCAGGTCTCTATTAAAGGATTTTGTTGGGGAAAGCAGACAAAAAATTTTAAGCTTGTTTATTTTGTCCAGCACCACAACATGTGGGGTCTTTTGCTGGGATGTTCTACTGTAGCACTTGCTTCTTTATACAGCAGCCAAAGGCAGTGCAAAAACTCACAGTGCAATCACTCGCCATTGCAATGTGTTTGCCTTCCTTTTACTGATGAACTGTCATACCTGGCTTCCATGCTCTGGTGGTTTCTTAAATACTTACTTTTCCTGTCCTCAGAGAGCTGCTTCTTAGCTTTTGACTCAGAGTTATGCATCTGTTTTGAATGTGGTACACTGTGATTTTTGTCGCTCTGATGCAGAGCACACAAGTGAGAGAAACTACACAAATTTCCCAAAAGGGCTATTTACAAGTCTTTTCATTTTTAAAAGCTTTGTTCAGTTAGACTTTGGTTTGTAAAAATTAAGCTATGCACAACTGGTGGGTACAACCTTACAGAATTGTGCACATCAAATGGTTTATTACTCTCCTTTAGTTAGACTCAAGTTTAAACTCTGATCATACATGTAAACAACTGTGTGTAGGGTCTTGTTAAACCAAGGGCTTCTGCTTGGACAGAGTAGTCTATCCATGTGCTGTTAGTGGTGGAAGTGCCAGCCTAGGGAGTCTAGCAACTGTTGATTTATTCACTCTTAACGTTCGGGCACAGAAGGTTTTCTAGGAGAGGGGAAGTAGAAAAAGGAGGAAGAAAATCAGTTAGCAAGAAGGATCAAACTTGCTTTCTAATCCTAGAAAACTAGGATTAAAATTCTGAACTTGATGCTTTTAAACTACTTTAAAATTGCTGTGTAAATTATCCTTGTGCATTGGAGCGCCTGACCATGGTCTTGAGGTCCACACAGGACCTCAAGTCCTGTAGTTGAAGTCCTCAAGAGGTAGAATAGCGTATCGTAAGGAAATTCCAGAAGTTCCTTTCTACCTTTATAGCTAAATCCTACCCAAGTTCCAGCTTGAGCCATGGGAAGATCAGGTAGGTGTAACTGGTGGGAAACCTGCAAACTGATGAGTGGAGAGTTGAAACGACTTGCCCAAGGACACAATGAGTCAGCACAGAGGCAGGTTCATTGAGCAAGGTTGTCTTGTTCCTAAATCTGTGCAGTATTCCCTGAGTCATTTCTACTGATGCAGAGTGGCCCCTAACAACTGTATTTCTCCCCGGTTTACTCAGTTAATTTTCCTTCATCATTTTAGGAGCTGGGACGAGAGTTTTCAATCAGAAGACAAATTTGGGTGCACACTGAAAATTCCCAGCCAGAGTCACGTTTAGTGATTTGCAGACTGCAGGCATTGCTCTGAAACTTGTTTTTTGGCAATTGTTTAAGCTGGCAAAACTCATACGGATAGGTCTGCCCGCAGCTGTGCTACAGGATCAAATGTTACATTATTGGCCATCATCCAGTTTCAAGTTGCATTAAAAGTCAGCTGAAAAACTTCATTGTTCTTAAATAACTGGTGTAGTTGCCAGAGTTGGATTGCAATTAGGGATCGGGAAGGAAGGGCCCTGTGGTGGTTAGTATGCCAACATTCTAATACCCTTGGTGCATAGTTTTAGCTTCCTTTTCTTTCTTCTTTTTTTCCTAGCTGATCACCTAGTGAAGAGTTTTGATTCCTGGCTCTTTTGCTGGAATACTAAGTAGTGATGGCTGTGTCCTTTTCCCATTCGTAAAATGGGGCAACGTGGTGTTCATGTCTGTAATATGCTTTGGAATATTCATTTGCATCAGATTTACTACAGAAATGACACATGGCTTTTTGCTATGACTAAATTGCTTTAAAAAGCACATGAATATTCCTGCAGTGCTTGTTCAGGATTTGCCAGTCACTGGAAGACACAGGGATGTACCTACCTGTCCATTGCAAGTGCCAGCACGTTCCAGGATTGAAATTCCTTCTTGAAGGCACAAGGCGGTGCTGCTGTGCCTTTCGCTGCAAGAATAAAGAGGAGGAGGAAGCTCTGTGGAAATCCTTTGCTGTGTAATGTTCCCTCTGTACAAGTGAATCGGAGAGCAGGCTTAAAGTGCCTCATCTCTGGTCAGGGTATTTTAGTTGTGATGCATACTTTCCCCAAAGACCCATTTATAGAAGATTTTCAAGTTGATTGTGAACTCTAAAACTGGGTTTGCTAGTCCTTTGTCTTAGGGCTGGAAGAGTAGATCTCAAAGTGCTTTCTGGTAATTGCCTCTCACTGCAGGCTGTGGATTTCATTTGCCTTGTCACTGCATACCAAACAGTGAAGTGCTGTAATTCCCATGTTGGAAAAGCTTGGTCCGCAGAACTTTCAGGGGTGGGATTATGTGAAAAATATGACTCACCTTGGCCCTCAAGGCATAGGTTGATTTCCCTATCATCCCAGTTGTCACTGGGAGAGGAAAAAACCATCTCACCAGAGTAGCCTTTTCTAGAGTTACAGAGCAGATAATCCTATGGTGATTACTAAAATAAAGTAGTTATTAACCAGAGAGCAGGTTACCTGCTTCTGAGAACTTCTTGCAAATTAACAGGCTCTGTGGATTCAAAGAGTACATCTGCACCAGTAAAATAACCTGCCACAGCACAGGAACATGATTATCTTTACTGTTAAATAGTCAGATTAATCCTTTACATGATTTTGACCTGCACAAGCTAGCATTCTCCCAAATGGCTGCTGAGTGAATCTGGGACTTAGCGAACCCGGAGACCATCCCAGTGGACAGTTTAGATGCAGCCCCTCTTCTGCAACCTAGGAAAATTAAATCATATGGATGTGGCAATTTGTTCTAGCTGGCCTCAGGGACAGAAAAGCTCTGCCACACTTTAATTTTCTTTCACAGATGTATCAGACTGTGTCCAGAAGGAGACGCTTTGTATAGCATTAGAAGTGAAAGGCCTGTGGTGGTGGTGGTTTTTTCCCCCTTCTTTCTATCCAGTAAGGTTCAGTATTTTATTTTGTCCCGTTTCTTACATCTTTCTCAGACTGTGGCACTGGAGATGTTTTGTAAACAAACAACACAATAAAGTCTAGTTTACTATTCTTTTCTTACTTTAGAAATGGATTTGCCTTTGACCTGGAGTACCTGTATCTGCCTTTTCAAATTACATTAGATTGGAAATGGGAAGGGAAGGGGATGTGACAAAAAATAAAAATCAAGCAGTAACATGTCTTGGACAAAAATTACCATACTTCCTTCACTAATGCATTGTGATATGTTGAGACTTGGTTTAGAGAGAGAAAGTTAAATATACTGATGTTTGGTGGTTAGAATGTCTCTGATGGGATTGAAACCTGTTTGGGTTTTTTTAGAGTCTTCAGTGAATAATCAAAAGAAGACCTTCAGTCTGGAAGAAAAATCCAAATCTTCCAAGAAACGTGTCCATTATATGAAGTTTGCAAAAGGTAAGGGGAGTTCCATTGTTTCATGAGTTCTAGCCAAGATCAGGAGGAAAAAAAGTGTTAAGGTGATCTGCTGCCTTCTGGGGTCTAAATCTGGCAAGTAAAATCTTAGTTTAGAAATGCTGCCTGCAGCAACTTACTTAAAGTTATAATATGCTGTTCCTCAATTTTGGACAATTTTGAGTGGCTTTAAGCTGACACTGTTGAATAAACCAGTTTCTGTCTGAAGGAATCATCAGCTGAATAAAGGAACAGTAAATACTCTTGAGTGATCTGTGTGTGGGCAGGGGATGGGAAGGGGAGGCAAAGGTGATAAGAGTTACTTGGGCATCTGCACAGTACTATCCTATTCAATCTCCAATAACCCCTGCTAAGAGATCACATGGATAAGATCAGTGGTCAGATTAAAGCTGAATGCAGGAAGAGGGAAAACCCTCTTACATCTACCAGTTACTTTACAGCTAAATTAGGACAGTAGATGGTGGCCACAAAAACTATATCAAGAACTTGAATTTTGCAGTTTCTTTCTTACAGTAATTACATTATTTCAGCTATCCCTTATTTTGGCTCTTGACAGTTGTTCAGTCTCTTGCTCTATTTCTTTAATGGTTGCCTTCCCCTTTCACATACCTATGTGCATGTAGTGTGTGTATACATGTTTCATGTGTGTATGAGATAGGATTGTTTTCCACTAATGGCTAATTTATTGAACTTAAAGCTCTGTTTAATGATTTCAGATACTAGATGCCTCTGTTAAAGCAGAAGTAATTGATGTCTGAATGGAGGCAGAATTCTGATATTGGGGTTTGGTATTTTTGAATAAATAATCTGGCCTTGAAGTTAACATGTTAACATGACCCATTCACTTTGCAACATTTAACAGTTGAATTGGTTCAGGGCTTGCAAATACAGAGGCCATGGCCTGTTTGAGGTAGTAGCAAAGATGATTTATTTTTATTTTCATTTAACCTTTTACTAAAAATAGAGGAAAAAAGTGTCTTTTGAGCCAGTAAAATATGGAGGAGGCTTTCCTATTAGCAGTATCATTTATTTGGCTGCAGTGTTTCTATAAGGTAGGCCCCTGTTTGATTGTGTTATACCCTCTGTGGTCTAAAACAGGGAAATTGTCCTTTTTCAGGGAAAGAGGAAAAGTTATTTGAGAAAGGCCAATGTTGTTGTGGCCCTTGTTGTTCAAGTCCGATCCTGCTTCCTTTTAGACTAAACAAGACAAGCTTACACAAAAGAGGGAGAAGGGAGCAGCGACGGCAGAAAACGCAGCTTCCGTTTTCAGTGCTGCTTTGTAGCCTCACTGCTGGAGGAACACAGTCCCCACACACAGCCTTAGCAGCCATGCTCATGTCTGGGAAAGACACACCAATATGAGGTTAAGACAGTAATTTCAATTGCTTTTCTAGTAGCTGTTCCACTGTAATGCTGAAAAAGGTTTGGACTGTCAGCTAAGTTGGTTTTGTATTAGAGTGGGATGCGTTCAAGGAGGGAAGGCATGGAAAGAAAGCATTGGGTAAGAGGAGAAGCGAAATGATTATAAGTGTTATGTTCCAAGCCTTGGCCAAGGTAAAACTGAAAACAGCCACCATTCTTCACCCAGTTTGCTTGGGTAAGGATGCCCAGGGGCTGGGCAGTGAGGCATCAGAAAGTTGGGTAGCACTTTCTTGTCTAGGTTAACATGTTTGCTTACCCTTTGTGGGCAGTTATGAATCCTAGAAGAAGAAACAGGTAGAATAGTCAGATTATCTTTTTAATTTGTCTGTTAGAAGTGCTTAGATTCATTTTGAGGTCAGTGGTTTTGGAATCAGAAAATCAAGTGGAGTAAGACCCCAGTATACTCCTAAGACGTTGGTCTGTCTGGGCTAATACTGTTTCTTTAACTTCTACTGACTGTTACATTTTTTAAGACTTTTCTGATATAAGTTGTGGGCAACTCAGTGTAAAGGTTTTTGCACTCTGAAATTGGCTAGACTTTTGCCCATATCTCAGAATATAACATCACACCCTTTTGCTTCCCCTGCCATGCTCCATGCCTGATATTCAGCTGTCCACACAACAGTCAGATGGGAATAATGGGCCTACTGGAATGCAGAGAAATTTTTATTTCACCCTCAAAATTGTTTAAATTTGGAATAAACCAGTGTGTTGCAGAGATGGAGGTTTTGCTTTTCAGAAGCAATTTCATGAAGCAGAGTCTCCACTGAGTAAAGATGAATGGCTTTTTTTCACTATATGGAGGAGCTATAACTCTGTAACTTTGTCAGAGATGGGGAATTCTCACGACAATCTCAAAATGTGCAGTTTCTCCTTGAACTTTTCTCATGTGTAGGATGTTACAACTCTTCTTTCCCTTTAGCATAGTGCAGGCTGCTTCCTCATCTTGCTGTGCCAATTGCAGCATCAAGTCAGGGGAAACAAGCTGCTGTTAAAGGTTTCCATGTGGACATACACCAGCAGGTCGTGGATATCTTCTCACCAGCCTTTGTCCCTACACACACACACACACACACATATTTCCTATTGTATGTGGGAGTCATGGTCAGCCTTCATTTAGTGTCTTTGACCTTCTCCCCTTGATATTTGTTCCCCTCCAAAAAGAATTTCTACCTCAGTGAGTCACTGTCTGTGTTATCAAAATATACCTGTAATCACCAGATGTGAAGGTTGTGAGATTTTCTTCTTCCTCTTACCCCTTTCAGGTAAGGATCTGTCTTCGCGCAGTGAAGATGATCTGTCCTGCATATTTGGGAAGCGACAGAAGAGTTCGAAGGGACAGGTAACAAAAGACTTCACCTTTCTCGTTTCCTTCTGTATTGTTCCTTATAATAAAACCATATTGAAATGTCTTTCTGCTGATGAGATCACCACATGGCCATTGAAAGCAAGAGGTCTTCTGCCGGTAAAATTGCTGTTGTTTCTGTGTGAAGGCTGCAGTTGAAAGGCTGTGATCTGAACTGTTAGGAAATGAGTGAATTTAATACATCACTTTGTGAATTATTACGATACAGCTTCTGTAGAGTTAGGAAACTTGAGTGTTTAAGTTTTACACTTGTTATACAGTGTACATGGCAAAGTACATAAATTTTGCTTGATCAGAAAGATCCATAAACATCCAAAGTAAAATCTTGACATTCAGTAGCAGCTGGCCAATCTCAGCAGACTATCCTTATTTCACAATTTGGAAAGGCTGAGCAGCTGCAAACAAAAGATTCAAAGATGGCTTGAACACTGATAAATATTTAATGAGAAGACCATTTCCCCAACATTGTGTAATGAGATCAAGGTTTGTGCTAGCATTTATTTTCCTTTATTTATGTATTTATTAGCATTTTTGCACTTGCAGAGAATAGACTTGCTATTTCAGGCAGTATGGATGCCCTATCCCTGGCAGTGTTCAAGGCCAGGCTGGACAGGACTTTGAAGAACCTTGTCTAGTGGAAGGTGTTGCTGTCTGTGGCGGGGGGGTTGGGACTAGATGAGCTTTAAGATCCCTTCCAAACCAAACCATTCTATGATGGTTCTTACTGGTATGTAAAATAGCAGATTTATGTTGTGACATGGCTAACATATCCAGAAAAATGGTTTGGAAAAAATAACATCTGGAAAAGCACAAATGCATGTGTTGCAAGAATTGCCCTGTCGTTCCAGAGTTCTGTGTCATGTCCAGAGGGAAAGATGGGGCCTGAAATTCAGAATCGGTGGATGTTTCTGAATGTATGTGTTTGACACCTTGCTCTTTGTACAGTGCTCTTGATAATTCTGTAACTTCACAGTAGGCCACTGTGAATTTGGGAGGAGCAGAGGAAGAATGTGCTAAGAGATCCTGGATAGTAGTGAAATGGGTGGCTCTGTAAATGCTAGGAAGAATGACAAGGGAGCTTGTTAAGAACAAATAGCAACCCACTGGGGATTCTTCCCTGGATAAAGCTCTTACTATAAAATAAATAATACTTCAGTGGGGTGTTTTGAATTGAACAGTTTGAAGGATTTGGTCTTGCTGTTATCCCATATAATATTATAATTTCAGCGAATCTGCTGTGGATTTTAAAGTTATTGGTAGCTTTATTGGTGACAGAGAAAAATGTCAAGTGTGTTTTCTGAGTACTGTTCTCTATAAGCTGCAAAAATACTGTTGCAGCTGATTAAACCAGGAAGTTAGAAGAAACTTAAGAACTGTCCTGTCTTGTCTGCCATTGTGAAAAACAGTATAAGCTTTTGTCACAGGACACATGGTTTGGTTTGAAAGGCAGGATCTTTGGAGTAGACCATCAGTCATAGCAGTTGTCAGAGGTCTCAAATGCTGTAGGTAAGCTTGCACCATCAGAGCCCTTTTGATTAACACTTCTAATCATGTGAATGGATCTGCTTCTTAACTCCTTTGCTGTCAGATCACCATGAAGGAAGACAAACTGGGTTTTAATGCCAATCAACAGTGCCATGGTTAAGGGAGCAGATTTTGCCCACCCATGAGTTGTTCCAAGTAGTTGGTCTCAATTCCTCTTAAAGTCCCACATCTTTTGAAACTAAAAAGATAAGTTTGGAAAGTGCTGTTGCTTCTCCTGGGATGTTACGTTACCCTGTAGAGCATTTGTTCTTTTGTTGATAGACATTGTGGATCACATGCATTTATGGCTGCTTATGAAGGTTGTGTATGTTTGTGCATGTTTCTGCTAATCCCTTGACTGATGCAGTGGTTAGCTGATGGCTGCTGTGCAGGTTTCCATTTTCCCCTCTCTGAACTAATGGTTCAGGGTTCTGGCAAAAAGTCATAGACTGTTCCTTGTTAAGCCCCCACATCTCCACATGCAAATACAGGCAGGAGGTAATGTAATTTGGAGCTGTATTGTCCTTTTCTGGCTGCCGTCTGCTGCTAGGCAGCAACAGGGAGAGAAAGCCAGAGGCAGCGCAATTGCTTCCCCCACCTTTTGTTCACGGATCAGAGATCTGTGGAGTTTGCACAGAACAAAAATGCATTGCTCAGGCTCTCCAGCTCTGAGCAATTTCATTTCATTGCACCCATGAACTCTCATGATCCTTTTCCATCGCATTCCAGAGCCTGGTCCTTAAGAGGTGGCAAAAATGGAACCGCACTGTGAGGATTTGCGGTACTGTTCTCCACGTGTGTTTGCATTCTGGTTTGAAATCCCTAGGCTCTGGGCAGTTCCCTGATGTGGCAGAGAGTGCACTAGTGGAGCAGGAAAGCACTGTCATTCTGCTGGAAGTGAGTTGATCATTTCTGTTCCTGTGTAGAGATAATGTAGGAAGAGTCCTGGCATCCATCAGAGCCCTCTGGTATGACTTCAGGCTGTGGAAGGCTGTAATCCCTTTTCATAGCAGCTTCTGCAAGCGTTAGTAGCAGTTGTATGTTGCTGACCCTGTTCAGAGTAGATGAGGACAGTTGTCATACTTACGTAGGTGCCGGAACTTCTACTGTCAATCTGATTGCAGGTTCCTAGCTGTAAGAGGTATAGTTTGAGAAGCATTCAGTATGGATTTGATTTGGACTGAATGGCTTATCTTGGAGTAGAGTTGTCATTCCACTCGACCTTTTGACAAAGACATTCACCATAATTCTTTTTCCCATATTTCTAATTGTTTCAGTCCAGGATCAGAACCATCTTGGGTGTAACTTCATGGAATAACTTCATAAAATCATGTGATTACTGATATGGGAGGAGACCTGGAGGTCTCTATCAGTCTCCCTGCTCAGAGCAGGATCAGCTATGTCAATTTGCCTCAGGACCTTGTCCAGCTGAGTTTTGACTATCTCCCTTCCTTAAAGCCTCCAATTTAAGCCTGTGACAGTCTGCAGTATGGATGAAAGAGATCACTTAAGGAGCAGAAGATGGGAACATTCTGGAATAACAAAATGCTTATGCAGGAAATGAGCTGAATTAAGTGGTTGTTTGCAGTTCTGTAGGCATCAGAGACACGATGAAAGTTATGTAAAGGTTTAAGGATGTATGCTTCTGATGGCATTATGGGCAGGCTTTCGATCTTGAGTGTGTTGCAGAGCTTTTCTTATGCCTAAGAGCTGTTGTACCCACAACCTTTGAGCTTTTCTATTTCTACAAATAGCCTACGGTGCAGTATATCCTCGCAGTGATGTTACATAGATGCTCATCAGCAGTGTCACTGTACTAGGTGTGGCTGCTTGGCTGGTGTTTTACCAAACAGTTCTTAAAGATTAGGAAAAGGGGATGAGGGGGAAACAAAATCCAGGAAACTCCAGCTGTGCTTGTGGTCAAATGGGAACTAGTGGAAGGGCTCTAGGCTGAGTGAGTTGGTCCCTGGACCAGGGAGATAATCCTGGCTCTTCTGATGTGCTTGTCAAAAATACATCACCTCTGAACTGCTGCTGTGATAAATGGTATCTCAACAAATCAGTATGTCACAGAGATGCTGTTTCGATTAGTCGTGTCCAGTCTTTTCTAGTATGATCGTTAGCAATCATTTGATGATCTTGTCATGTGGAGTTCTTTTGTCCTGGCTTAGTCTTAGCTGTCTTAACTGTAAAGCTGATCTCAGACTCACTTGTTAACTGTCTCAGTAACCTAGGACTGATCTGGCTAATGGGTCTTTTCTCTTGTTTCACACTGACACTACTGCAGTAAGTGGGGATGTTGAAATTTGGATTATTTACCTTATCAAATAAAGAGGGAGTTGGCTAGAGGATTGTAAAGATTGCAAAAGAGTGGAATTGCAAAGGATATGGAAGGAAATGCTCTTTGCTCCTGAGGGTTGAAAGGAGTTTCTCTAGAAGTACTAAGACCAAGATACTAGTTAAAGCTGTTGTTTTGATGGTTCTGGGATATGTGTTACTAATCATAGACACTTGCAGCCTTTAATTCTCCTGAATGTTAAACATAGCGGGACTTTTAAAATTATTATTATTTTTGCTAGTCTCGTGTCCAGCTAAAGCCTCCTGAATAAACTGTACAGGGACCTTTGCTTAAAAACCACTGAATAAATAAAAACAAGTAAAAAGAAAGCACAGAGGGAGAAAACAATGGCTGGTCTTGAGAGTGGGCCTAAATTGAAAACGTCTGCAGTTTTTCCCAGGGAGAGTAAGCGATCGAAAATATTGAATTGTAATTATGATGCTCTCCGGAGACCTCCAGTGAGGACCTGTTTTGCAGGGTAAGATCTGCCAGACTTTTTTCGCCCCTACTTTCCCTCTGATTTTCTCACTTGCTTATGAACACTTGGGAGCTGGGGAGACAGAAAAACAAATTCCATTAGTTCCTATCTGGTTGAACTTCCTGGAACCCCCACTATTTTTTTTGCTTCTCAGAATTTCCTTCCTCCATCCAGCTGTGTTTCCTGATGAAGCCTTATCACTGGAGAAAATGCTCCTGAGTGAGACTGAGGATTTGGGAATGAGTTACAGACAGTCCCAACTTGGTTGCTGAACAACATGATTCTGGCACTGATTTCACTTTGGGGGCTGGGAGAGTAGTTCTGATTTGCTTGTGCATTTGTAATAACTCGGTTTCAGATGCGTAGAAAACTGAATGTTTTGCATCCATCTCACTTCCATGTCTCAGGCCATTTGATGAGTAATCTGCTTCCTCCAAATTTTTGTAACTTGGACGTAAACCTGCGTATGTTCCCTTAAACCACCTAGTCCGAGTAGCCTAAAAGTCTCAAGTTTGTGGTGATTTCTTCCATGTTAGTCATTAGAAATGTAATTATCCACCCTGTTGCTTGGTCACTTTTTTTTCTTAATCAGGAAATTGTCTTCTGACACATTTTGCAGAACTTCCTCAACTGACTTATATTTCCCAGCACTTATCAGAAAAGCATGTTGGCTAATCTTACGGGACATAACTGAAAATCCATTAAAGTCTGGCTCTGCCATGGACTTACTGAGGCTATGGGTAAACTGAAATCATTCCCTATGCTTCTACTCTGCAAAATACCAGTCATGATACTGATGTTTGTGGGGTTTCA